GTTCGGCCGCCGTTAAGGCCTTCAATTTGCAGTTTAAACATAAAAACATGAACAGATAATCAAACAGGCAATAGATAGAAATGCAATATAACAGGTATACTTAATCAATTCAGTTTCAGATTCCAGTCAGTCAGTCCAGTATTTCAATCAGTTCAATTACCAATTATAATCAGTCACAGTTTAGCAGTAATCGATAGTTTATCGGTAAATAGTGGTGAGGGTTGTTACAGTGTCTGAAAATAACCTCCTGCCATAATCAAATCTCAAAACCTGGACAAGTTCGAGAGAGAGAGAGAGAGAGAGATGGTTGGGTTGTTGGCATGGGCAGCAGATGTGGTGAGAGGTGGAGGCCAGAGCGACGACGAAGATGATATCAATTCAATCTCAGTAGCCTTCACTCCAGAGAAGCAAAATAGTCAATAAGACAAATTGTCATATTAAATCTATAATCATTTCATTTTTTCTCTTACAAATATCACATCCAATTACAAAAAAATTTAACTATTTTCCCAAACACAATTATTTTAACATATTAAAATAGCCAAAAACTAAAATAGTCTATTAAAATAGCCAACTTCCTAAACATCACATAGTGTTCTTGAAGTCTAAACTAAATTATGTTAGTTGGAGGAGATTCCTCTGGAGGTTTGTTGAACTAATGATAGAATTTAGCCTTTTTTTTTTTGTTCTTGCACTTTGCAAATGGAAGGGAATAGGCTAGGTGACCGGGTTGGATTGGATTGTAATGTATTGCATTCGGGCGCAAGATGTTTAAACATGTTGTAGTAATGCCTAATCTTTGTGGTCAACTATGCTATGTGCACAATTTTATTTTTTTATTTTTACAAAATAAGAAATAAATGTAATTCAAAATATTTGCATATAACAAGACGTTAATGATTTGGTGTGCAAAATTTTCTATGTAATGCCCCAAATTTCTAGCCCAAATGATAATACAACAATCATGACTCTTTCAAGGAAAACCGAATATAAATCTCCAAATTTACATTACATGATACAATAGTTCTTCATGCAACAATACATTAATCCAACAACAAGTAAATAAACAAATAAATACCCCCAAGGGGTTTACAAGTTTCCAAGGCTTGAGTCTGGTTACACAAAATGATTATTCAAAATCACACAAACACAGCCCTTGGCTTACACACAGAGTCACAGCAAAATGAGAGCATTGTACTCCCAACACACATACCCTAGTTGGGTGGAATCACCACATCTTTTCCTGCACAAAAATCCTGTAGGGTGAGCATAAAGCTCATTAGAAAATTCTTAACAAAGTATATACATTTTATACAAGTCTCAAGAGATGAAATGCACATGTCATGCTATGCCCTTTTTGAAGATAAATTACATTTTCATCTTTTGAAAATCATCATGCTCAATGATATCATGCATTTTCAATTGTTCAAAACTTAACAATTTATTGCAAGGGCGGTAAATACAATTCTGGTAATACCTAGGTCGGTGTTTGCAAGTAGACTATATAAGTACTACCAATTTGTCATTTTTACCAGCATTGACTGGAAGGCTCGATACCTATAATCTGTCATTTTTACCAGTATTAACTGGAAGGCTCGACACCTATTCAATTTCATTTACACCACCTGTCAAGATTTACAACCGTATTTACCTCAAAACCAATTCATGGAAACTTATTTCTCAACATTCTTTTCTCAAAGCAAATTTCAAATCAACTTTCAAAATTTAATGTAATCAAATGAATTGATATGCCAATAACACAAGATGAATATAAATACCTTTATTCCAATTCATCATTCAAGGAATAACACAATTCCACTTTCTCAAGTATCCTCAATAATTAGTCATTTCAAGACTATTTCAATGTTTTGAACAATAATTTTTAAAATGAACAACAATTCTCATATTCCCTAAAATTCATCATTTATATAAATATAAATAAGAAATTATCTAAACATCTATTTATTTTGACACACAAAATAAATATAACAATATCATTCATGGATTTTCAATCTCTTTAAAAAAAAATTCAAATTCTAGGTTTTCTTACCAAAACTATACAACTCAAATCTTTTGAAAAGCAACTTTTCAAAATCATCTTTTCTTCAATCAACAAAGATCAAAACCCATAAGATCATTTTAAAAGAACAAGAGACGAACACACTTTCAAAATCGCTCAATTTCTTGAATTAACAATCAATTTTCAAAGCTATCGAATGATGATTTCAAAAATATCTAGATCTTGCAAAAATATATATATAACTCTAAGAAAATCCCTACCTCAAGTTTTGAAGAAAAAATGAGATGCACCCCCAAAATCAACAGTGTCCAAACTCAATCTTCACTGCACACAACGAAACCCTTGAGGAGCTAACCAACTTTGATGAAGAACTTAGGTCCAAATCCCAAAGGATTTGAAGAAATCAAAGATCTTGTGAGGTTTTTGGTAGGAAATGTAGAGAGAAGGGAGAGGAAATGTTTTTAGAAAGAGAGAGATATACAAAAGTGATTCAATTTCAACCCAAGGAGAGAAGAAAAGGGAAAAATTTTCAGATCTCACCAACCCACCGCACCTCACTCCTGCACCTGCCTTTTTAGCAGTGTGCAAGTTGTGCTCTCCCCTAAAATCCATACGCGCGGCTTGCTCTCCCGTTCGAGCAAACAAGCAACTTCGAATGCATTTTGCATTTTTGTTTTGGGGGCACTGCCCCTCAACCCCGCCAGGGCGCTGCCTTAGGACCCGCTAAGGGGCGCTGCCCCCTGGACTCCTGCGAGTTGACTGGGCAGCTCGACCCGCGACATACTCAGCAAAGTGGCAAAACTGGGATCGCTACATTCTATGTTCCTAAATTTTTTCCTTGCAATTCTTGAATCATGAAATTCTTAAAAAGGGATTAAAAGAAAAAATATAAAGCACAATAGCAGGGCATGCAAAAAAAAAAAAAAACCTTGGAAATTATAACAATTGCCTATCTATGTACGTAAATTTTATCTATTAAAAATAGGAAGAAAATATTTATAGCAGCAAAACTATGTAACTGGTATACATTTATACAGCCAATAATATAAACATAGTTACAATCGATGGTCATATTCATCACATGATTTCTTCGACTTTTTTTCTTTTTTTTTTTTTAACACAGAAACTAAAGAAAAACAGGGGAAACAAACAAACAAAAGAAACAAGCTTAGCTCAAAGCTTGCACCAAAGGCTTAGGTGGATGTAGCACCCAATTAATAGGCAAAGAACCAGAAAGAGATGCTCTCGCAGTCCAGTGAGCAGCCCTGTTAGCCATCTGAGGTGACCAGTGGAAGGATAAATTAGAACGTCGAGCTAATGCTCTAATGTCCGCAATGAGAGGGGCACATGTCCAGGGAGGAGCGTCCTCGAAAATACAAAGCGAGATGACTGATTTGTTATCCCCTTCAATTTCGATGTGAGAGAGATTAAGAGTTTTGGCCATAAGACAAGCCTTGCGGATCGCAAACGCCTCCCTTTGCAAAGCAGAGTGAACCTTTAGCCGCTGTACAACTCCATCTACTAGCTCACCTTTCCAATTCCGAAGTAAAACCGCTATAGCAGCTGAGGTTGAATCAGGAGACATAGCCACATCACAGTTAGCTTTAAAACATCCAGGTGAAGGAGCCGTCCAGCCCCCAATGGAAACTGCCACTGATGCAGGATTGACATGAGCCCCAGAATGATTTCGGAAAGCCACTGACATGAACTCCATATTACCCCGAGCAGCTTGAAAAATGGTAGATATGGGATCCACAGGCAGTCCATTAAAAACTAGATCATTCCTGGACTTCCAGATATGCCAACTCACCCACATAACCTTACTAAAAAAAGGCACCCGATCCTTGTTATTGGAGAAGGCAATGTACAAGTCACACATCCATTTGGAGATAGACGAAATTCCATCCTGGAGAAACAAACCCAAATCACTGCCAAACCAAATAGCTTTTGTCCACGCACACCCGTACAGTAAATGGTCAATAGATTCAGGCACACCAAGACAGACTGGGCAAACACCATCCTGTGTACATCGACGTCTATAGATATTTTGTTTTGTTGCCAAAGAATTGTGACAGCAACGCCACCAGAAATGTTTAAGTTTTGGAGGTACTGGAAGGCCCCAGATCATTTTCCAAACCGGTTCAGGGACATGGAAGGAAGTGGATGGTCTGTCAAGAAGTTGTGCTTGCTGAAACATGATCTCCTCTTGATACCCAGATTTGTCCTTGTACAGGCCCTTAGAGTCATGGTGCCAAATAAGAGTGTCATCCGTGTTGTCAATCGAAATGGGAATGTCATAGATATTGCGGACGTCCAGGCGTGAGACCAAATTTGTCAGCAGCCCCTCATTCCATGATATAGTTATCGGATTAATAGCATCTATAACTTTCAAAATGGGGCACCTAGTGGGCTTGCAAGAATTGATACGGAAATCCTTATTCGTTGGAATCCATTTATCCTCCTAGAAATTGACTAAGGCCCCATTGGAAATTTGCCACCAAATCCCTCGCTGCAGAATCTTGCGGCCTTCAAGGAGACTAGCCCAAGCCCAAGAAGCTCGGGCACCTTTCGAAGCATTTAAGAAATTTGAATTAGGAAAGTAAATGCCCTTCAAGAACCGTGCTACAAAAGAATTGGGGTACTTGAGAAGTCGCCATCCTTGTCGCGCGAGTAAGGCTTTGTTAATGTGATGTGATCAATTAAGCATTTCTTCAACTTTATGCAAGCAATTTGTTGTCCTTCTATTCAAAGTTCACTCTCTTATAATGTGATGTGATCCATCCTCACCAAAATTTTCTCTTATTATGAATCAATCTAATTTATAGTTACATACCAATAGGGATATCTATTGGGAAAAAATGTTGTCACCGAGAGATGCACAAGGATTAACATGCTTAAGAACAAATCCAATATAACTAATGTCTTGTTTCAATATATGTATACAATTTCATATACAAGTAAGTAGCTGTAACAATGAGCAAAGCAATCCAATCATATATATGTATATATATATGTCAATTTTTTAATTTTTAATTTTTGTTTTTACATACGAATAAGATTAAGAATGGTTTTGACCTTGAACCTACCAATCCATTCAAGACCATCCTCAACCCACACAAAACCAAACAACCAACACAAAATATCATTCAATAATTATACAGAACTAGTCACATAACCGACCGTGAAGCAATGTAGTGGAGCAATTTTTTCAGTAAGATATGGTTGATATGTGTGATTACCATTATTTTCAATGACAATAGTGACCAAACCAGCAATTCTTCCCTCCTCCCTCATACCCTTTTTCTTCATCAACTCTACTGTGAATCCACCATAACAGATTTGTGAGTGAATTCCCATCATCAAACCCATTCAAATTCCTAATCTTACGCAAAGCGTTCTCTTTGTCATAAACCCCTTCCAACGCATGCAAAAACCCCTTCCATCCTTCTAAAACTCCCTCCCTCCCCAACGCTGTCGACGCCCATGCCACAAGATCCCTCACAAAACCACTTTCACAAAACAAAACCTCAGTGATTGGCGACAATGGCAACAACTGAATCCCAACCCTGCACTCCCTCCACTCAGCTGGTGCAAACCAAAGTCCATTGTCCCTCTTATTAGCCCACAAAACACCCACAACTCTATTCTGTCTAGTAAATTCCTCTGCATATATAGTCCCTCCCTCTCTCACATGCCACCATGTCTGAGCTGAATGAATTTCCATTGCTGCAATTGTCGAAGCAGTCGTCACAAGGTGTGTATCTCCATAAGCCAATCCCATTGTTAATAGTAGATAAAGCACACATGTTATGTTATACTAGCATCACATGTTATACACTACAATACACACTGTAAAGCACACACCCACTAGCATCACATGACAATACACACTGTAAAGCACACACCCACTAGCACACACCTGTATTGTAATATACCTTTCGGTCACCTTCTCCTCTCTATAAATAGAGAGAGCTCAGTCTCTTGTAATAGATATACAAAAACACAGAGCTATTTGCTCTCTCAATCTCTCTCAATTTGTTATACCCATCAATGCTGCCGCATAGTATGCGTTCACAGCCTCACTCGTGCTCTCTTGGTTTCGCCCGTCTGCAAATTCAGTCAGCCCTCCGGCCCAAGAGTGAAGTTTCCATAGATCAAAACACCGCAAACGCGGATATTTTGAATTTTCTCGCTTGCCCAAGTTCATGAAATCCGCCATTAACGAGTAAGCTTGCGGCCTATAGTTTCTCCCCCAAGTTGGATCAATCTTTGCAAGCACTGCAATTGCATAAAGAAAAAGCCCCAAATGGTAATGGTGATCATTGTATATTCCAAACCCGAAATCAGCCCCGGAATCCAAAGATCCTTGTTTAGTCACAATGCCACCCCACTTCCCGTCATACAAGAAACCATTTGTGCTAAAAGTACCATCTAGCCATGGCTCAATTGTGTCCTTCAAGAACTTTCGAATACCCGGGATTGCATCGAAACAACCGACTTCTTCAGCAATCAATGCTAATCTTGCTGCTCTGGTAATCTGTTTCCCATAAAAATAAGATGATGTTGTTGTTGATGTTGTTGCTGGATTGAGAGCCTCAACATCTTTGATTAGTGCAGCAACAATTTCAGGGTATGATTCTTCATTGATGCCTCCAATTGAGTGCCAAGTTACAGAAACAGGGCTGGATTTCAATACCCATGAATCTCCAACAACACCCACAAGGTCTCCATCAATGCTTCTGTATTTGAAATCATCCAAAACAGTGATTTTACAATCACTGCTTGAAAGAAGCTGAAGATGGAGAGGGTGGGCAAGCATAAGCAAATCCCCCCAACCTCTCTTGTCCCATTTATATTCCAAACAAAATGGATTGGAAAACAGGGCATGGCCCGATACCGGATGACAATGGCTGAACCGATCAAGGATCAATTCATGTCGTGGGTTGGAATTTGGTACGATAGTAATCCGAATAATGCCGGAAAACCCATTGGAAGTTATGGAAGAAACGTCCTGACTCAGATTAATTGGTGAAGAAGCGTAGAGAAGCCATGTCTGATTGTTGTTGAGCTTAATGGTGTATTTAGTGAGAGAACTATTGGGAGAGATTTGAAGAATGGCATGAACTGTAGAAATCGAAAGCGATACACCATTGGTGGCAACACAGGTCAAATAAGGGCTTCCTCTGACGAGGAAGAACCTGAGATTGCTAGAAGGAAGGTCAAGAGTGACACTGAGATCACTGAATGAAGAAACAATGTGGGTTGAATTTGGGTTGGGGTTGTTTGATGCAAAGATGGTGAGGTCAGAGTTGAAAACCTGGTAGATGAAGGAAGAGTTGGAGAACTGAGATGGGTAACAGAGAGTGAGAGAGGAGAGAGAAAACTTGATGAGATAAGGGTGGATGTATTCAGGTTGATCACCATTTTTTAGGACGAAGTTTTGGAAGAAGGAATTGGTGGGTAGAGGGGATGAGAGGAGGTGGGGAGAGAAGAAGAGGGATGGGTCAGGAAGGACTGTGGATTGGGTTTTTGGGAAGAGGAAGGGATGGGTCGGTCGTCTGTAGGGTTCTGGCGGTGGCGGCGGTGGCGGAGATGGCTCACGTGGTGGTGGAGGAGGAGGAGAGGGAAGGGAAGGACGAGAACGAGGAGGAGGAGGAGGCCTGCGTTTTTTTTTGAAAATCCAAGACATTTCTCTGCCAATATTCCTCACGATGACCTAGCTCAATATATTTCTTTTGGGGCAAGAAAATGTTTCTCTACTTATAAAATAAAAATAAACATATATGTATACTGAAACTCGATACGTGTGAAAGATGAAAGAAATTTGATTAAAAAATACACAATGAAACTCAATAATAGACAATGAATTTTGACACACGTGTAGAGCGAGAGGAGATTAAGTGATTTGGGTTGACGGATGGTGAGTGAGTGGTGAAGGGAAAAATGGATGAGAAACACAAGGTTGCAGTTTGGAAGTGAAGTTTGATGTATTTTGAGAATAGGAAGGTGGGGGTATTATATATCAAAGGCATGCAAGTTAGATGGTGAAGGAAGGGATAACAAGGTGGGGGGTCTTGGAATATGTTTGGGGAATCAAGAAAGTCATAGAATGAAGGTTCGTTTTTGAGGTTTAGGAGCTTTGGATTGCTGGATTCATGCGTTGTTCTCTCCTCTCATTTGGTTCCCAAATGCCTTATGATACTTTGCAAGTTTTCCCATGGTTCCTATTCTGTTCGGGCTAGTGTAACACAAACATACAAAAAAAAAAAAAAAAAAACATTTTATTCTCTTGTGATTATATTAAAAAATAATTAAGGTTATGTTTGTTTGAAATTTTAGAATTTATTTTTAGAATTTTAAAAAATTATTGGCAAAAAAAAAATATTTATAAAATTTGAAAAATTATTTTCATAAAAAATAAAGAGTATTTTTAATTTTTTGATTCTTTTCTTCAAAACAATGTAAATTTAACATTAAAGAATTTTCGAGTAATGCAAAAATGAAAGTAATTATATTTAAATATATTATGGGAGACTTATATGTAGATTCTAATAAGTGAATTTATTTGAATAAAAAAAAATAGATTTATTATCCAATAAGTTCTATATGATAATTATTGTTGTTTTTCATCAAACGCTATTAAAAAATATCATTAATTGTTAGTTTTCAGCGACAATTTGAAAATTATCACAAATTATAAGTTTTGGTTACAATTTAAAAAAATCGTTACAAAAAGTCACTAATTTTCAACTTAGCGACAATTTGAAAAATTTGCCACAGAAAAGCATCAATAATTATAAGTTTTAGTGACAATTTAAAAAATCGTAACAAAAAAAATCACTAATTGTTAATTTTTAGAAGGACATGTATAAAATCGTCACAAAAAATTATGTCTAAATATATTTAGTGACAAAAAAAGTCATTAATTATCAATTTTTAAATTTATTTAAATTTGATAAAAATTAAAACAAACTATTAATAGCTATTAGTAGTTTTACTCGTATACTATTATAAATAGGATCGGGTTAAAATGGGCCGAGATCCCTATGCTAATTTTAAGTTGAATCATTTATCAAACGGGTTTAAATCATTAGTCCAGCCCAATTTACGAGGCCGAATACTATTTCCAAAACTAAAAATGTAAGTCTAAATTGGGCCGCCAGCGGGTCGACACCAGGAGCCGGAGAGGGTGGGTAGGTGTCTGAAAACGGCCCCCTGGCATAATCTCAAAATCTGGACAAGTTTTAGAGAGAGAGTAGAGAGAGAGAGAGAGATGGCTGGGTTGTTCGCATGGGCAGCAGATGTGGTGGGAGGTGGTGGGCAGAGCAACGACGAAGACGATATCAATGCAATCCCAGTAGCCTTCACTCCAGAGCAGCAACAATACGCGAGACAGTTGGATCTCAAAGCATCTTCTCTCAACCGTTCGATCCAAGATCTACGGCTTAGACTCCCTCCCCCTGACATCTCCCAACGTCTTCCCCACCTCCACGCCCACTCCCTCGCCTCCAACGCTGCCCTCGCTCTCCAATTGAACGCTCACTCCACCACCAAGGAACAGGTTCTACTCATTTCCCACTCACGTGGCTTTTTCAATTTCAAGCAACTTTTCTTCACATGGATATTTGATTTGATTTCAATTCAATTGCAATTTCTTCTTTATTATTGTACATATTGCTGTGATTCTTTCAATTTATAGGTTTTAGTGTTAAGAGTCTTTTGAGAATGTTTAATAATAATGCAGTTTTTTTGCTGTTCCATGTTGGGTTCCCTTATTCTTCAACAAATGGATTGATTTTGGGAAAGGAGAAAGGATCTAAAAAGTTATCTCTGTGTGTGTGTTGGGGGGACAAATAACTATTCAAAGTATCAGAATTCGGTCCATGATCATAGTCGTTTCAAATTAAAATTATTATAGTCTGTCCATGGCTCCTACTGTATAGGATTCAAGATTACCTTTTCTTTTTTCACATGCTCTGCATCATTAGTTTTATGGTTACAATTGGTTGTTGGATGAGTTTTGGTCCAAAGTCTGACCATTTTGGCACTGATCTTTTTGGCCAGGCACAACTGAGAGAGGTTACATTGCAAGAAGAAAATGCTGCATATGAAAAGGCTATATCCAATTGTGATAATAAAATACATGAGAAGTTGAAAGAAGCAGATCTATTTCGGACTAAGTTACAGGTTAGAGTTAAGCACCTAAAATTTATTTTTTTATTTTATTTTTTTGGATAAGAAAGGAATTTTAGATTTTTTAAGTGCTGCTCTCATAGCCTTCTGTTGGAGGATTCCTCACTCTTCTGCATTCAACTCTTTCTAAAGCGTTGTTTTTGTTTAATCCTTGGCATCTTCACTGAGGAAAAATATTACAGGAAATGGACTTGACTGAGAAAAATCTGAAGGACAAGTTGGAAAATGCGCTAGCTGCATTTCATGCCAGACAATCTGGAAAATTAGGTGAATTGTCTATTGATTCTGAAACTACAGTTGAAGCTCAAGACGTTATAGAAGCTTCAAAATCTGATGTACTGGACAAGTTAGAGAACAAGAAACAGGAACTGGTCTGTTGCTTATTTCTCCTCATCCAGATATTCTTTTTTCGTTTTTGTTCTCTTTCTTCTTTTTTTTTCCATTTTTATTTTTAGTTTCTGAAAACGTTTTATTATCTTCTTAGAGTTTAATGGAAGAGATGGTTGAAGTCTTGGAGAAAAAATGGGCACAGGTCCAAGAGAATGCACTGAAGCAGCCTTCTCCAGGTATTGTACATCATCCATTTACTTCTGCTTGTGTAACTTTTTTGAACTTTTATTGTATAATTGATAGGCAATGAGGATGGATTGGGTAAGTGGATAGGTTGCGAATATACTGTTGACATGGAAAATATGAGAAAGTAGAAGAAAGACATGGAAGGGACATGATATTAGAAGGATTTTGGGGCCCTCCTGTTCCCCATTTTGCTACTACTGCAACTACTTTTTACCTCTTGTACTCCCCTCCCTTTACTTATTTGTTTTCAATACTGTGCTTGTCCTATATTAACTATTAAGGATTCTAGACATATCTGGGACATGGCTGCCATGTGGTCAATCAAACATAGTAAAAGACTGTCATAATCATCAATTTTTTATATGGACATGTCTCCTCTGTAGAGATGTCTCAACTATTTGATTCAGCATGCATTGTCAATTTTCTAGGAGTTGGATGCTATAGGACGGAAAAAGAAATCAAGTCCTAAGGCTGCCTACAATAGGAATTGTGGTGGGTTTTGGGTATGGAAAGTTTTCAAGATTAGGGTTCTAATGGGGGAAAGAAACAATCTAGGTTTTGAAGTGGTAAAGGACTGAGATTTGACCCTGTTTGAGGGCTTGAATAGCTGCTAAATCAGGGGTTTAAGGGTAGTTGAGGATCAATAGAAGGGGGAAGGGGTTAGAATTGATTGGGAATATATATGTTAGGTTTTGGGGCTAAAGAAGGGACCTTTCTAGTGTTGTGAACAACAATATGAGAATAATAACTTTGTGGGAGAGCCTTCCTTGATACCATTCTCATACCTACCTCTGCATCTAAGAAGTACGAACACAGATGCGGATATGGGACACGGGACACAACGATTTCAAAAAAATGGAAACACGGACACGGCGGGAATACGGCAATAAAATATATTTTCATATATTTTTATTTGCTATCTAAATTAATATTACATCCACGAACAATCAATATTAACAAAAATTAACTCAAATTCTATAAATAAATAAATAAATTAATTCTAATTCTATTTCCCAATGTGTCTCTTGAAAATAAATTAATTAAATAAGAGTACACGCCATGTGGCGTGTCCCATACGTGTCCCCGATGTGTCTGCCTATCCCCGAAGTGTCCGTGTGTTTGACATGGATATGGCACTTGTTTTTGAAGTGTCAGTGCTTCATAGGCTCCCATCTTATAGATCCCAAGGTCTGATCCTAGAATGCAGAGTAGGATCAGTCACTTGTCCAAGGATGAGATGGCTTCCATGGTTTGACCATCCTATATTAGGGATCTCGATGCCAACGTCGAGGCATCATCAGCCAACTTCCTCACTCATGACAAGCATCAGGCACCTCCACTGCCAGACTTGCTCTCTAACTAAGATTGATTGAGCTCTCTCACCTCTGCCACCTCCAATGCCCTCCCATCGTCTAAGTGTCCTCCATCTTCCCAGAAGGTCCCACTAGGACTCCTCACTACCATCCATCCACAGTAAGTTTGTAACTGACTGGTTACTAGTAAAAATCATTGCCTCTTTATATCTTTGCAGTATATGATAAATAATTTAACAAAGACTAATAATTTGAATGAGAGAAATTAGGTTCAATAATTTGAGGAGCTTCTGAATACTGACAACATATTTGTAACTAATTGGAAGCATAAACCCTCAAAAGAGAATGGGTATGATTAGTATGATTTGTGCTCTTCTGAATGAACTAGTTTCCCCTACAACTTTGGAAATGTAGTGCTACTCACTTTTAAAGTGTGCTTTTGGGGAAATGGTATCCCTACCTTTGATTGGCACTTCAATAACTTTTGTTTTTATTTTTATTTATTGCATTGACAATCTGTTGACTTTTGGAAAAAATCCTTTCCATAAGGAAAACTGACCTATTGCTTCCTGCTCGATGTAGTGAAATAGATTGTTCACTGTAATAACAGATATTTTACTTTGGCCATCTCTGTTGTTTAAGCTGTCCTAACGTGATGCAATTTTCTTCAGCTCAGAGAGAGAAAATATTGGATAGACAGCTACACAGCCTAATTGAACAACTAGCCACCAAGCAGGTGTGCTTTAGCTATTGTGAATTTGCTTTATATGAAGATTTTTGCTGATGTGACTTTGAGAGGGAATTCCTTTTATCTTGTTGTGTCCTTGTAGGCCCAAGCAGAGGGGCTGGTCAGTGAAATCCATCTGAAGGAGATGGAACTAGAGAGGTTAAATGGGCTGTGGAGGAGTCTTGAAACCAGCACAGCGGAGTTCAATGCAGCTAGGAATCGGTTTGGAAGAAGCAATTCTGAGAAGGGATCTCTTTCCTCTGATTACATTGTTGACCCTCATCACAGGCCTTCTTATCACTTGGGTGGCCGAACTGAAAATCTCATGCTACTCAGGTCGGCTTTCGTGCTCTACATTCTAGCTCTGCACATCTTGGTCTTCATCAGAATTTCATTCTAAAAATGTATTGGTTCCATTAAATATTGTAATATTTCTTCACCTTCCTGCCAAACCTGATATATATGATTTTTCATTCTGTTGTACTTCAGGTTTAACCAGAAACATGTTTCATGTATATATAATGAAATACTTTATTTTTACTGTGTCAAAACTGTGAGATGAGTTGCTGCTTTATTTTAATATGTCGACAGTAAATTTCTCTTAGCATTAAGAGAAGAGAAGGCAATAGAGTAGATCACAAAGTGCACAAAAGACAAATAATTTACAAATTGTAGGTTGTGGTAGTTAGGCAATTAAATTTCGGTGGCATTTGTAGACTTGTGTTAAAACTTACATTTTTGTTGGTTGAGGCATATCATTATATACTATCAAGCTGTTAATTTCATCTAGTGTCTGAGACTCCAAACTCATGAATTTTCGTTGTTGAATCATAACTTGTTACTATAAGAAGTTTTCATCTTGAGATTTTTGAAATAATCCTAAACACTGAACTCTTTTAAGGTTTTGTAGCGAGGTTTTGTTTGGAAACATCACTTTTTAACCTAGAAGTCCAAAAGTCACTATAAAAATCAAAAAGTTAACAACTTATATAAAAAAGTTAAAGATTCTTTTTTCTTTTTATTTTTTGCACATCTTTTTATAAAAAAATCAAAAAGTCATCTCAAACATATTAGTTTTTTTATACTATATTTTAGTCAAAAAATTAAAAAATTGCTAAAAAAATATGTTCCCAACCGAGGCTTAATTCTCAAATCCCATCTATGTGGTCATTTGGGGAGGAGCTTCATCCTTTCCGTTTGAAAGTAAATTTTTAAGTGTTTTACCCAAGGTTTCAAAAAGTGGTTGTGGTCGTCATAACGATTGCGGTGGCGAGGTATAAAAGCCATAATGTAACGGTTGCAGTAATCGGAACCGTGATTTTTTTAATTTTTCGCATAATTTGAAATTTTTAAGCATATTTTTTTCTTTCTAGAATCACATATATTAGGATTTAAAATAGATTTTGATAAATTTTTATTGATTTTTAAGTATGATCAAATGTATTTCTTATTTTCAAATCACTATAAAAAGAGTTTTTTACATTTTATTTTAATAGTTAATGATTTTAAGAATAATTGATTTTAAATATCTATAAATTATTTTTGACCAATACCTACACTAATTGAATAAAAAATATTCACAATTATTAAATGAAATGATTATAAAAATAAAAATTGTGCCATAAACAAAAATTATGAAGAAAATAAATTTATATAAGATTTTTTTCTTTGGGTTTGGATCACTTGAGTGTTTGTTCTTTTTTGTAAGCTTTTATTTTTTTTATTTTTTTAGAAAAAGAAGTTATTCAGAATATTATAAAAAGGTGTAACGGCGTGTAACAGACCGTTACGACCATTATGTAACACCGAAACGGTCGTTACACATGTGAATTTCTGTCACACCGTTATAATGGCTATAACGAGTGACGGAAACTACCACAATCGTTACGTGACGGTGTTACGTAATGGTTGCGTTGCTTTTTAAAATCTTGTTACCACATTTTAGACAAACAAGGTTTAATGATTGCTCAATTCTTGCACCCATCTTATTTGTGGTGAGAAAATTAAATATGGGTTTATTCACATATCTATCTAAGAAATGGGTTTATTCACATATCTATCTAAGAATTCTATATGGTTACATTAGGAAAATAAATTGTTTGATGTAATTTTTTTCATGCTGTGGTGTAATTTCTGACGCATGGACATAAGAAATGTACACGGGACTTTAGCATGGTCAGAAATTATTGAATATTCATTCCATGTTTCAAAGGTGAAGCTTCGTGTTCACCATGTACATGGGACACGTAACACGGTCCTCAAGACCTGCTGAAGTGAACTGTGTAGATTCTTGTACTGCAAAAAAAATAGGGCTTCAACGTATACTCAACACTTTCCTCTGAAATATCAAATGTGCAAACATAGGCTCTGAATCATTTTATTTTCAATAGTTATTATTCTCCTTCCAAGTGTAATTAGTTATGCTGTTTAGGATGTTTTCTTCTTGGACATATACTTGGCAGCTTTTTCCAACTTTATGCCAATAAAAATCCGGGTGCTCCATGAAATGAATAACTTATGGATTTGAGCTTTTGATCAATGATTTCAGGTGTTAGATTAAATAAAGCCCTTTCGAAATAGGATAGATTTAAACAAATGCAACATTCTTATAAAAATTAAAGGACATAATTTTTTGTACAGTAATTTGCTTTCATATGGTATAATTATTATTTTTTTCTTTTTTCTTTTTTCTTATATAAAAAAAATATTACATCCACATTTTTATTTGATAAATAAAGAATATTACATCCACAGTTTTGACTCTGCAAAAATTCTTAAAAACCACTCGGACTGTTGAAATAAATATAAATGTTGGCTATATAACTATATCTTTATAATTAAAAATATGCTTATCCAAGATTGTCTCACTGAGTTCCTAGCTAAGCATATTTCTGAAGATTCCCACGGACAGTTCTTCCTTAGTCTTCTTCTATCTTCAACATCTGAAGCAAAAATTCATTCCAAGTGTCAATGGGGCCTGGCATGCACCAGTGGACACAGTCAGCTAGGGTCTTATTCTCATTTGGCCCGTGCCCATAATGGTTTGGGTGACCATCTGGCCTCATCGCCATTGCTTCTGTAGTATCTAGTATCCTAAATTTCAAGCCCTTCTTTCTCCCTTCAATTTCTGCTGCCCTGAGCTCCTCCACTTGAGTCAAATAGAACTCCAAATTATACCCATCCAACTTCATTTCTTCTTTTGTAAGGGGCCTTGTTCTCACACAATTCCCCCCTTCATTCCAATACCCATTCTCAAAGTGTGCAGGTGAGAATGTCCTCAAAATGGTCAGCCCCTTAAAGTTTTGATGGTTCAAAATGGTCCTAAAGGCAGCACGGAAGGCCATTCTGTATCCATAGTACCTAGTCAGGTCTGTGATGTTCCTTCTATGGCAGACATGACATCCAACGACCTTACCTTTTTCATAATATATGAATGGTCTAAAGAACCATTGACCTGCTGATATGATCACAATATCAACATTTTCAATCTGAGTTGCCCAGGCTTCATCAGCCTCATCCAAGTATAGGTTCATGCGGCTATTGAGGGAATATCCATTGGGGTCAGCGTCACGGGTTCTAACCAAGAGTGGGGACCAAAGTGCTTTCATAGTGAAGTCGTAGTCAGTGTAGAGCCAACGTCTGAATTTTGTATCTTGCACTTCAGAAACATCTACTGGATAGGCTGCCTGAAAAAAGTACAGATGAAAAGATTAACAGCTAATATGAATACTTTCTGATCCATACGACACACCTCAATTATATTTTTAAATCTACTATCAGCTATTCATTATGGGACTTGTGAGCTCTAGAAATGTTCAAATAAAAGCAGGGGATTTTGTTGGGTTCTCAAGATGTACCTTAATCTTCTTATCAGTTGATGGGTTCTATTTGCATACCATTTGCATTAAGATTTCATGATGGGAAGGCAGTGTGTAAATGTATCTTATTATATTATGCATACATATACACTGCAATAAACCCAATGATTATGCTAGATCTTGTGTAACATAGCAACTACATAATATCAAAAACTGAAAAGGGTGGTTGTTAGACTTGAAGTTGAAATATTACTTGGTATATCTATCTATACATAATGCTATAATGAGTTACTGAGCACTTACACTAGCCAAGAGGCATGTCAATGATTGCATTTGGTTTCTTCCCACTGAGTCCCCAACAAAGGCCAAAGTCTTACCTCTAACAAGCTCCAAGAACTGAACTGCGTTGAAGAGAGGTAACTCACATTCATCTGGTTTCCACCTCCATTTCATAAATTCTGTGTCCGGTCTCCCAAACTTCATGCAGTTTTGTCGATCATCAATCACACATTTAGTCTCATTTGTGTAGTAAGGTTCCTTGGGATATGGAACCCAGTTTCCATTAAATATGACACACTTCTGATCCAACTCAACATTTGTTGAATCATTGGTTGTATTCTGGGGAGAATGCAAAGCCAAGGACAAATTGTTTTTCTGAAAGAGAGGGACTGAGCTATTGATCCTAATCTCTACTGACCGTGTAATGAAGGGTGAGTTGTTATATAGATAGAGAGGGATTGTGGTGAGAAGAATTAGGGTTAGCATTGGTAGGATAGCCTTTTTGGAGCTGTAGAGAGCGGTGCTCTTCCCACTGGGAAGCTCCATGGTGTTGATCTTCATCTGAGAATAGTATGAAGTAGAAGCTTTACATTTGGTCTATGTATAGGTTTACTAATGTCTGAGATGAGTTTATATGGTTGAAATTTGGAATGTATTTTATATGAAATGTCATCTAGGTTATGAAGTTAAGTGCTCCTGGAATTTTTTTCCAAGGCTGGTTTGGAGTGAAAGCAAACAATTGTCATCATGATATATCATTGAAGGCAAAGTTGGACATCATCTTCCTTTCCCACTGTTCATTAGAAATTTATTATAGTATGTTCATAGTTTTTTCAAGGATCTGAGCTAGGTAATTTACCAAATTGCTCATCTATGTTTTTGGTCATTCATACATAATAATTGAGGTAAACTTCTATATGTGTAATTGACACTCTTTTTTTAACATGTTGTAGCAAATGACTTGGATGTTTTGTTTGGATCTTGGATTTTATTAATGGAAAGAAAAATGAATTTATTTATATATGACTTTCATGGATAATTAAACCAAAAACAAACAACAAAAAAAAGAAAAAAGATAAGAAAAGATTTTTGATAAATTTCTATTCATTCTCTTCTCATTTTCCTAACCAACTGATCATAATATTGTACTACTGACTAACCCTTTTTCCCTTTTTGTTTGTCTTCTTATTGGTTAACCAGTTACAACTAGAAACCCTAAAACCAACTAGAGAAACCTTTGCATGCTCTAGAAGATTAAATGTAATGTTGATACTTGATACCATTAAATGGATATTTCAATATTTGATCCATTCATTGACATTTAAATTAAAATATTCATATACTTGAGTGGTTTCATTATATGTACAACATGTATTACTGGTTGCAGTTCAATATCTATCATTTTTCTATCAAACAAAGATGTTTCTCAAATTTTTCTTGAAGCAAGATTTGAAGCAGTGGGATGCTTACTAATTCTAATATTAGGTATATTGCATGTGATTTTATGTAAACCTCTATGATCACTGATCAGGTGAGATGTCCCCAACATAAGGTATGAACATGTATGATGAAGAGCCCTAATTTCTTACTTATTAAACAACAAGGTTCTGTGAATGCAGTGAATTATGATGGAAGTGTGTACCTACTAATTATTAGTCAAGATTTTTGTGTCCATCTTTTTTGTTGTGCAGTTATTACAGACATCAATCATTTTTGTGTCCACCTCATGGCTAGAATTGCCAATGTGTCCTATAATCTGAGGGTGTTTTTTTGGTGGTGTTGTCTACATAGCGTAACTTGGTGGCAAAGTAGTTGATCATTACAATGCCTCGGCCACCATTTTTTTTAAAGGTTACGACATGACTTTTCATGTTAATATAATCATGATTTGTCCAATGAAGCTATAGCATGCCAAATTGGCATTAATTTAACACTATGGTTACCATTTGAATATGAAGCCTCTACACCTAGGATTGGGTAGATCTCATACAATAACTGTCTAAACTCCATTTATTTTTTCTAGAATAATCACATACACTTTTTTCATTGTAGATCTACTACTAGAAATTCAATATGTATTCTTGAATAATCTCATTTTTCAATTATTCAATCATTTTATCTACCAAGTTCAATGTTGGCTAGATGTATCTACATTTCTCATTCAATAGGCACAAATAGGTGGATTTCTACATAGAACTAATAATAAAATACAAGTTGAGCACTGTGAGTGGAACGGGCTCTTCCTTGGCAAGCGCCACTATCTAATGTGTATGGCCACCATTATTTTTCGTGTTCAATTCTGTCAGTAGAATTCTTGATTATTAATGTGAATTCTATTACCTTGTACACAGCGAGTCACAAATGTATGTATGTGTAATAAACACCAACCACCAAAAAAAATATGTGTCGGTTATCAAAAAAATAAATGAATGTATGTATGTGTAGCACAATGTTCTCCATTTAGTGAGGCAGTGCCTTAATACCTACGTCAATAGGTTCATATATATTTTACCAAATTTTTAATCTTGAGTGAAAGAGAATTCACTCAAATTGCTCAATCAATTAATTTCTGGTACACTTGACCTATCATGGATTAAGCAAAGATCAATTGGGTTGAAGTTTTACTATGAATGATTCATGCCAATGTTCAATCAATTCAATTCCAAATTTAGCCATGAAACCATTTGGAGGACTAATTGCTTAGGTGTTATTTCAGCCTTATAGGTAAGGTTTCTCCTTAGAAAACGCAATAATTTTTTGATATGCTTTCCAGTATTATTTTAATATTGATTTATGCAAGTGATAAATAGATGTCATTTTCAAGTTGCCATCTTAACAAAAACTTGTATAACTTGCCTTTCAACACAGATGATCATATTATTTCTGTGGTGAAGAAGACAATTTTCAGATTCATCTGTTTTTGTGTAACAATTGCCCATGTAGCTTGGATTTTTATATGCGCATAAGTTTATTGAGGCGATTAATAATTTGTTTAAACTTAGCTTGACTTGTTTATATGAAGAGCTAATATTGAACGAGTTTTTAACGAATTGATATTGAACGAGTTCTTAATGAGTTAAACATGAGTCGAGTTCAAGTAACTGGATTTGTTCTACAGTCCAATTCACAAGTTATGGAGGGGAAAAAAAAAAAAGGAAGCAAAAGAACAAGTGTGACATGTTCAATTAGGACTTTACATGATTTTCATTTAGTTAGAAAGCATTTCCATTTTCAACATTTGAAACAAGAACTCATTCCAAGTGTCAATGGGGCCAGGCAAGCACCAATGGACACAGTCAGCAATAGTCACATTTTCATGTGGCCAATGCCCAAAATGGTTCGGATGCCCATCTGGCCTCAACACCATAGCTTCAGTTGTATCCAACAACCTAAATTTCAACCCCCTTCTCGCTCCTTGTTCTACTGCCCTTTTCATCTCGTCCACTTGAATCAGGTAGAACTTCAAGCTATCACCCTCCAACCTCATTTCCCGGCCCGTAGCAGGCCTCGTCCTCGAACACCTCCCCCCTCTGTTCCATTCCCCATTCTCAAAATGCGCAGGCGACAGAGTCCTCAGAAAAGTTACTCCCTTGAAGTTTTGACTGTTCCACAGGGCTTGGAAAGCTGTTCTAAAGGCCTTTCTGTATCCGTAGAACTTGGTGAGGCTTGTTAGGTTGTTGACGTGGCAGTTGTAGCACCCAATGACGTGGTGGTTTTCGTAGTATATTTGTGGACCGAAGAACCACTGGGAAGCCGACAAGATAACGTAGTCAAATGATTCGATCTCGTTGGCCCAGTCCTCGTTGGGCTGGTCTAGATAGAGGTTCACAAGGCGGTCATAGGTTGGGCCTGTGGGATAGGTGTTGATGGCCTTGACCAAGTATGGTGACCAGAAAGTTGCCAAGGTGAAGTTGTGATCCTTGTATAGCCAATGCCTGAACCTTGGGTCTTTGGTCTCGGACACATCTAAAGGATAGACCACCTTAAAAAGCCAATAAAACAGTTGACATTGTGTCAAGTATGAATAATGATATACAAATGCCACAGAGTTCCCTGTTTAAATTAAAATGCCATTCTGAATGAATTTTTTGTGTTTAAAAATTATTATGTTTTGAGGATGATTATTGAATACTAGTAGTTACATTGAGTTATTTGTTTGAAACTTACTGTGGCTAGGAGGCACAACAAGGATTGAGCTTGGTTTCTTGCCACAGAGTCCCCAACAAATGCCATAGACTTCCCTCTTACAAGCTCCAAGAACCCAACTGCGTCAAAGATGGGTAGCTCGCAGTGGTTGTCTGGTTTCCACCTCCACTTCAAGAACTCTCTGTCTGGTCTCCCAAACTTCATGCAGTTTTGCTGATCAAAGATCACATTGCAAGACTCATTGGTGTAGTAAGGTCCATTTGGGTACTGAACCCACTTCCCATGAAACATGTCGCATCTCTCTCCTGACTCTGTGTTCTTCTTCACATTGTTATGATCAGTAAGAGTGAGAGACCAACATGACCATGGTGTTGGTGAGATCTCGAGCAGGTTGACGGGGACAAGGGTGATCAAGAGATATAGGGTTAGGGTTGATAGAAGAACTATTATGCAGGTGGTGTGAATTGTTTTTTGGTTTCCTCTCATGGATGGGAAGAACTCAAATGAGATGAACAGTAGCAGAAGAATGAGGGTGAGGATTGCCTAGGAAACTATACAATTATTCTATTTGTATACTAGTGGATGGATGGTTGTCTTTTCGTGGCCTTGGCAAGTTGGCATTTATAAGAGCAACGCGCTACTCTCAGAATTCATACATAGAAATTTATCCAACAAATTAATGTGTTTTCTAAACTTATTTTAGGTACACGATCTCATCATAAAATAGTAGTTGAATGCGGACATGATAATATTTTTTCATGGTAAATTTTCATGGATGAAATTTGAGTCTGTAACTTATAATGTTGTCTAAAAATAAATATTCATAGTGGCTACAATTCCTATACATCACTGAGAAGTTAAAGATTCGAATATTGTAATAGACAGAATTTTCTCTATATAAATACTATCAATATGCCGACAAAAAACAATTAAAAACATTTCTTGTATTTTTTTAAGTCAATTTTTTCCTTGTTACATGCCTCATTCATCAAGGTGAGTGTAAATTTGTTTACATAGTGTAAACAAAACACACTCCATTATTGATCAATTTTTACACTTTTTGTAGATTACCTCATTGTTTCAGCCACTGATAAAGTGTGTTTGTTCACCCACTCTCGTTCATCAAGTGCACCACAAATTTTGATGGCATAGACCAATTGTCAGAAGTTCACTGCAAGGATTGTACTTGGTTAAGATTAGATTCCATTTATGTTTTTTATTTTTTATTTTTTGAACCATGAAGAAGGAATAAAAAATCAATATAGTTTTGACAAAAATTTTATAATATCTTCCGGACAAAATGATGGCATTGTGAGGTCTTATTGAAGCAAAACGTGATAAAAAATAGAATAAAATAAATAAATGGGAGTGTCATCTACGCTCTCTTTTTTTGGGGGGGAAAAAAAAAAAAACTTTGAGTAACGTTTACTAAATCATCATTATGTGAAATCATTGCAGGAAAGCATGAAAAGAAAATTTGTCACCTTTTAAATTTTTTTAGAAACTTTTTATTAAAAATTATGTACAAGTATGCATTTTAATCTCCTTTAACTTAACAATAAAAGATAAGATACCCTCAACTCTCGCCTTGGGTGAGGGTGATGAGATGAACAAATATTTATTGCAAATTGCAATGATGACACCATCTTATAAGACAACTAAATAGATGAGATTGATTTTAATTAAAATTATGCATATCATATAATAATGTCACGTAGTATGATCTTTACTTTCAATATTAACTCTTATATATTTTATTTCTCAAATTTTAAGGCAGAATTTTAAATTTGTGAAAAGATTGATGGAGAGAGAGAAAGAGAAAAACAAAGCGCAAAAAAAAAGAAAAGATTTTACTTTAACTTTTATTTTGCTTTCCTCATTTATAGAAGGGAATCGTGGGAGAAGCAAGAAATGCTCCAAGTTAGATGATGTTATTTACTTTAGCGTGATGTGGGTTACTCTCAAAAGATCAAATTGAATGTTGAAAATTAATTCTATGTTAAATGTTTGAAGCTAACTGATTTAACTTTTGAGAAATGAAACTAAAAAAAAAAAAAATTTGAAATAACTCCAATTAAATATGAGGATGTTATTGAACTCTTGCATGTATATATGTCGCATATTAATTAACATTACAAGTAATTGTAACCTTCGGCTCTATCAGGCCCATTTTCATCGACAATACACTATCATCTTATATGTAAAACACAAATGCAAAATTTCTTTTGTGGTCACAATTTCCTCAAATGAGGACTAACATTTCAATACCGCCCAATGGCTACAAAAACGCAATCCTTCTCATCCTAACTCTAATTCTCGCCATTCTGATTGTTCTTCACTATATTCATGACAATTCATCAAAGATTAATGCTGGTATTTCAGGACCTCTCCATGGAGGCAATAACAAGTCATCCTCGGCTTTGCAACATGATAAGGTGAATGGAATTGGAATGAGAAGGGTAGGGAACAAATGCAACATGTTTAGTGGGAAATGGGTTCCATATCCAAAAGGGCCTTACTACACAAACAACACTAGATGTTATATTACAGATGGACAGAATTGTATGAAGTTTGGGAGACCAGACACTGAGTTCATGAAGTGGAGGTGGAGGCCAGATGATTGTGAGCTACCTCTATTTGATGCAGCTCAGTTCATGGAGCTTGTAAGAGGGAAGTCTATGGCCTTTGTTGGGGACTCTGTGGCAAGAAATCAAGCTCAATCCTTGTTGTGCCTCCTAGCCAATGTAAGTTTCATATAAATAACCCAATGTAACTACTAGTATTCAATGATCATCCTCAAAACATAATAATTTTTAAACACAAATAATTCATTCAGAATGGCATTTTAATTTAAAACAGGGAACTCTATGGCATTTGTATACCATTATTCATACTTGACACGATGTTAACTCTTCTATGGGCTTTTTAAGGTGGTCTATCCTTTAGACGTGTCCGAGACCAAAGACCCAAGGTTCAGACATTGGTTTTACAAGGATCACAACTTCACTATGGCCTTTGTTGGGACTCTGTAGCAACAACAATGCTGCATCTCCTAATTTATCACCCCTTACCATCTTAATGATATGGCATTGAGATTAGACTCCACATGATAGAATATTTAACAAATCAAAATTTGACACTTGTCACGCACATCATTAGGGGTAATAAATTAGGTGTCACAAGCATTTTTCAAAAAAAAAAGTAAATGACATTTTTCATAGTTTGACTCAAATTTTATTTTAGTTCATACTCTTTAACTTCAGTTTTAATTTGGTTATTCGGTCCAAATTAGATTTTAAAATTTACAATTTTGTAACATATGTACACGTAAAAAAAAAATTACGGTAATTTGGATGAAATGACCAAATTAAAACAAGATTTATAGTGTATGGATTAAATTATTTAAATTGCAATAATAAGGATCAAAGTAAAATTTAAATCAAACTATAAAGATTAAAAATGTAATTTATCCCCAAAAAGGAAGAAAGTGTACAAAATGCAGTGTGGTATCAACACTGCATTCATTCTGGTGGAATTTGGGCTCACACAATTTAAATGTAGCGTTGTCAGCACACCATCCTTGGATTGTTTTTAGGTCCATATGATTTTCTCTACCCAAAACGGTAATGATATAGATTTAAAATTTTTTTTTTACAGAAAAGTGTCCAAAATATATTGCGGCAACACAATAATGATTTCATGCAAATGAGTCCATCCAAAATGAATGTAACACTGCCAACATATCACTCTGAAAAATTTTGGAAATTTTTCTAAGTCTATATTATCTTCTTCTTTTTTCACAAAAAAAATAAGCATGGAGTGTGACAACACTACATTCTGAATCTCTGGACACTTTTATATATATATATATACATATATAAACTCTCTAGATTTATTTTTCAAGAATTGCTTATAAAAATTTGTGATTGTACATTTGTAAATCAGGTTGCCACTGCAGTAGAAAAACCATATGCAAAGTACCCAAAATCCAGAAGATGGTTCTACCCAGAATACAATTTCACACTAGCACTTCTAATGACCACTCATCTAGTCAAAGCCCTTGGCGTCTCATCTTCTTCCATGAACTTAGAGCTCTACTTAGACGAGGTCGACGAGGAGTGGGCATCCCCGGTTGAAGATTTCGACTACGTCCTAATCTCATCGGGACATTGGTTTTCGAGGCCTTTAATGTACTATGAAAAGGGCAAGTTCATTGGGTGCAACACATGTAGCGAAGAGGCTGTGAGGGTCCAAGGCAAGTACTTAGGATACAGAAAGGTCTTTCGAACGGCGTTTAGGATGTTTTTGGACAGTCAAAAGTTTAAGGGGACGGTGATTTTGAGGACGATCACTCCAACCCACTTTGAAAAAGAGGATTCGGAAGGGAGAGGGAATTGCGTGAGGACGAGGCCGTATAGGAGAGATGAAGTAAAATTGGATTGGAATATTTGGCAATATTATTTGATTCAAGTGGAGGAGTTTTGGGCGGCGAAGAGGGAGGCGGAGAAGATAGGGAAAAAGTTCGAGTTGTTGGATATTACTGAAGCCATGTCTCCGAGGCCAGATGGTCACCCGAACCATTATGGGCATGTGTTGGAAGAGAGGTTTATGCTTTATTCTGATTGTCTGCATTGGTGCTTGCCCGGACCCATTGATATGTGGAATGAGCTTTTGATTCAAATAATGATGAGGGAAGAGGGCCAAGATGTCATTTGATACACGGAACGGTAGTTTAATAAAAAGTTTTTCACGGTTTGGATAAATCTATGAAGCATTCCAAAATGAGGAATGAGGGCAAAGACGTCATTTGGTATTTGGGAAAGTAGTTTATAGTGGCGAAAATCAAATTAATTTTGGATAAATCTATGAAGCATTCCAAATTACAATTCATGTGAGGCTGTTTATAGCCAGATGGTTGGAGAAATACATTTGTATAATTGTTTGTTTTGAGTGATAATATCAGATAAATAGTTGGATAAATTTATAACAATGTACATAAACTCTTTGATTTATTGTAGCAGGGGTATATATTTTCTTGGTTCTTTAACAGTTTTCTCCTTATTAATTTGTTCACCACTGTGCTAATGGCTGAAATGCTGTTTGTTTAATGGGAAATTCTTGGAAAATAAAAAGGGCCAAAAAGAAAAGAGGGAAAATTTGAAATCTTCACTAAAAGTTGTAGAAATTGTAATGGAAAACTTGAAATTAGTTACCCTAATTGTAACTCGAAAAATAATCCCCTAGCTATAATTTAGGCACATAATAACAAATAAATAAAAGAGTTAATTACCTAAAAGTTTTATTTATAAATATTATAGTAGCTCAGGTCTTATCTAAGATTTTTTGAACTAATAAGTCCTATTTACGATGTGTTTGATTGAGAGATTTGGAAAATGATTTGGAAAGCAAAAGATAAAAAGTGTATGAAACTATGTGAAATGTAGGTATATTTAATTCACATTTAACATATCTGTTCTTTTTTCCTTTTCAAATCTCTTTCCAAATTTTCCAACTAAACACAACATTAGTAAAACTGAAAATATTATCAGTTTTTCCAATTTTTGAAACTAAGAACATTATCAATTTTACATAACAATGTTTTAGATAATTGTTTCACTAATTGATGAAAAAAATAGAGCATGAGATTAAACGTTTTTGCCTTCTACTTATTGGTTTGATTTAATTATCCAATAAAACCGAGAATATTATCATTTTTTTTTTCAATTTTAAAACTGAGAACATTATCAGCTTTTTCATTTTAAATTTTTTTTTTTTTTTCACATCAATGTTCCAACATCATACTCCTTTATAGACACAAAATTTTTAGTTTTGCACAAAAAAATAATTTTGTTTTTCCATTTTTTTTCAAAAAAAAAAAATAGAATTCAATGCGTTTGGTTTCAATTTTCTGAATTTAGTTTTTTGAAAATTAATTTTTTGTGTTTTTCATTTTTCTATTTTTAGTGAATATTTTTAAAATTTTAAGCATTTTTTTTAATTTTTTTAGATGCATCTTACTTAGATGCATCTAAAAAGTAAAATATTAGTGAAAAAATATTTTTAAAAATTAATAAATACACAAAAATATGAAAAATGTATTGAATTTTTTATATTTTTAGTATTTAGTGAATTTTTTAAATATTTTTTTTACGAAAATTATACTTTTTAAGTGTATTTATGTTAGGTGTGTCTAAAAATTCAAAAAAAAAAATTGCTTCAAATATTAAAAAAATTTAGTAAAAACAAAAAAAAATACGAAAAATAAAAAAGTAGAATTTTCTGAAAAGTGTTTTCAAAAAACTGGAAACAAACATAGTAGGTTTTTTTTTTTTTTTTTTTTGCACATAATTTTTTTTAGTTTTTCCAATTTGAAAGTTGATGTTTTAAAATTTTGAAAATCAAAATAAATATCAAATCATCATGTTCCTTTATAGATAATCATAAATGATGAATAATTATTATTTGAAAAATAATTCTGACTATTAAAAAATTAATGGGACTTGAAAGTCTAAAATATTTTAATTAGGACTTAATAGAATATAAGTTCATAAATTAATATTTATACGTAAATGTCCCTAAAAAAAATATTATACAAATTAACAAGTCTAATGTATTTTGATGTATTTTCTTCGAATTTTGAGGAGGTTAATATAATTTATTTATTTATTTTAATTGGTAAATTCCTTATTGAAGATTAAAAAAAAAAAACACAGATTTAATCACACCAAGACTCCTCAACTATTAATAAATATCATTTTGAACCTCTCTCATTTATGAATTTGTACATGTAAAACCTTTTAATTATGAAAATTATACAAATACAATCTTTTTAAATATGATCTAAAGAGATAAAAGTGATATTCAGCTGATGAGAGGGCTTGATATAATCAACCCAAAAAATAAAAGGAAACACAGAACAGTGACTCTAGCGTCTCTCTCCGGCGAACCAGAGATCTCCAGCGGCAAAACCAGAGGCTCTCTCCTCTCAATCTTTCGTCGTCTTCTCTTCTCTTTCGTCCCTCTCTCCATTCGAACTCTCCCTTAGAGTAAACAATTCAAGATCAAACTCTGAAACAAGAATTGAACTCTTGCACTTATTGGTTGAAACTTCGAATTATTTTGATGCCCATTAGATGTTCGATGAAATGTGTCAAAAAAAAAAGTGCAAACATCGTTGGGATGTGGACCAGGGTTGTCACATATCCATTTAATTTCTTCTAACATATAAATGACTACTAATTAGCAGCCACCAAGTTTGTAGGAACTAAACAAGTTTGAAAATGGTTTGCTCACAACAATCTGGTTTCTACCTCCATCTAATGGATACAAGCTCTACTTGTTCTTCCATAAATAAATAATAATAAAAAAAATCCTAGTTTTAGTGAAGTTTTACCCTTTAAATCCAATTAGCAAACCAAGGGTTGATGCATGTGATCTGGGTATTGTCCCAAGTATGCATTATGTAATAACTCATTGTTATATTGGGTTTACAATACAATAAAGAAGACAGTTTGTCCTGTTCAGCTATTATAACAAGAAAGAAATTAACCCTGCAATAAATGTTCATTAGCTTTAGCTGTTACATACATCAAATTTAAATGAATTTAATGACTGTTAGAACAATATATTAAATATATGAATGTGTTATACAAACAGATGAAATAATGCAATAAAAGAATTACTCTTTATTAGCCTATTTAATTGTACTGTAATGATATTGAGTAACCTATGGTTGGTTTTGTTCAATTTTCATATCAACAATGTGTTCCAGCAAATTAAACCAACAGAACACATCATTACTAAATGAAGGTCAGTGTTTTAGAGCTTCACAATGCAAAGAAGACACATCTCAAGGACCTCAGAAAGGTGATCCTAGTGGTACTAACCTTCGTTCTTTTCACCATCGTCCATCTCCATCTCTGTAACAACTGGTCGACATTTTCTTTGCAGTTCCCTGTAATTTCCGCTAATGGTTCAGCAAGACTTACATTGAAGCATAATAGATGCAACATATTTAAAGGAAACTGGGTTCCATACGCCGAGGGGCCTTATTACTACACAAATTCAAACAAGTGTGTGGTCGATGATCGACAAAATTGCATAAAGTTTGGAAGGCCAGACAGTGGATACATGAAATGGAGGTGGAAACCAGATGGTTGTGAGCTGCCTCGCTTCGACGCGGCTCAGTTCTTGGAGCTTGTGAGAGGCAAGTCCATGGTTTTCGTTGGGGACTCTGTGGGAAGAAATCAAGTTGAATCATTGATGTGCCTGTTGGCTACTGTTAAGTGTTCTCTAACTCGTTAATAAAATTATAATGTTAAATGAGATGGATGAGCTAGCTTTGCTAATTGTAATTTTTCTGTCAGATGGCCAGTCCTGTAGATGCACCAAGTGTGGGAGGAGCAATCAGATGCTGGCTCTACATCGATTACAATTTTAAACTAGCAATCATATGGTCCCCAAATTTGGTCAAGCTATCTGTTCCCAACCAAAATGGTTCCTCCATCGTGGGTGTCCTGAATCTATACTTAGACAAAGTCGACGAGGCATGGGCAGCTCAAATTGAACATTTTGATTATGTGATCATCTCAGCCGGACAATGGTTCTCTAGGCCATTAATATACCATGAAAATGGTAAGATTGTTGGGTGTCACGTATGCAAAAACGAGTCCATCACCAGTCTTTCGAGGTACTATGGATACAGGATGGCCTTGAGAACCGCCTTCAAGGCCATTCTGAGCTTACCAAACTTCAAGGGGGTGACATTTCTAAGGTCATTCTCTCCGACACACTTTGGGGGTGAGGATTGGGTGAAAGGAGGGAATTGCTCGCAGACAAGGCCATTTCCGCAACAAGAAATGGAATCGGATGAGAGTAATCTAGAGTTCTACTTGACTCAGGTGGACGAGTTTAGGGTGGCAGAGAGAGAAGCGGGGACGAGAGGGTTGAAATTTAGGTGGTTGGACATTACTGAAGCCATGGTTATGAGGCCAGATGGTCACCCGTACCACTATGGGCACCCACCAAATAAGGAGAAACATATAGCTGATTGTCTCCATTGGTGCTTGCCTGGTCCTATTGATTCATGGAATGAATTTTTGCTTCACATGTTGAAGATGGAAGGACAAGAATCAGTTGATGCAACACTCTGATAAAATGTGTTGTGCATCAAATTATACCAGATAAAACTTTGGATTACAATATAATGTTAGCAAATTATGAACACAATTCCTCCCTTTCTTTTTTCATCCTAGTCTTTCATTCTTTAACAAATTGTTGGATTCAATCCCAATTTCAGCAAATCCCGGTTCATATAAAACATTGTCAGATAATACAATTAGTTTCACACTTTTAACATAATTACACCACTCTTTCTTAAATTTTAATTCACATAACATGTAGAGCAATAGATCATTCAATTTGGACTCTTTTTCTTTTGTGTACCTATATTTTGAGTTTGTAATGAGAAACTGTTAAAAAAGAAATACTCATCAGAAAAAACGAAAAAGAGAGAATGATATTGAAGATAGTTGGACAGACTCCAGCCTTTTTTGAGTCCTTCTTAGGTGGCGTTCTGTATTAGTGACTTGATCTTCAAGGTATGATTTTTGGTTTTAATGTGTCCATTGTGTAGGTACTCGCAGGTGTTGACAGAAGATTTCTCTGGATTTCCGTGGTTCTCATCGTTTCTAGAGTTTGTGAATTTGATAGTATTCATTTTAGTCTTATGTTGTTGTTTGGTGTCTTCTATTGAATTATATTTCTTCCTTACTAATAAAGTTACCACTTTCTCAAAAATGTGCACTTCATTTTTGTTTGGTAACGGGTAAAAAAAAAATTGAAATTTGTATCAAAATGTTTTTTTAAAAAAACAAGGGAATTCCTTGTTACAAATTTTTTTTTGTATGTTATACCGGTTATGTTTGCATGTTCATTTGGGCTAAAATAGTCATATAGGACAAAATTAGTTATTCTAGTGAAATATGACAAAATGTCATATTCATATCATAATCATTTCATTTTTTTCTTCTAAAAAAGTCAAAAAGTCTATCTCAAATGACGCTTTTTAATCTCAGGTAAAAATAGCCAAAAAATAAAAAAACCAACCCACATCGCAAACAAAGGCACAGTTTTTTGACAAATGTTAATATTTTGATAGAGTTTCAATAATTTGTGGTTTAAAAATAAAGTTATATATTTTTGTAGTAATGTCACGTATTTTTACAGTAATGTTACACATTTTGTAGTACAAAAATGTTTCGATGAAAAAACATGTAAAATTATCTTTAAAATACATAACTTTATCAAAAAAGTACAAAACTTGATTTTCGAATAATAAATTATCACAACTCTACAAAAAAATATATATATAACATTTATCACAAAAATATATAATATATACCAAAAATTTACATAACCAAGTTCCATATATAAATTATGAATTATTTTATTTCCATCTAAGGAATGGACCAAATTAATCAATCATCCAGATCATTTAGAGCAATGTTAGGGATCATAATAATTTTATTAAAAATTTTATACAATATTGATATAGATGTAAGATTTACAGTACATAAAACCCACGCTCATATAAGCATTACGTAAAATGTTTGATAATTTTTTTCAAAATCTCTAACATTTTCACGTCTAACTTTTTCAAAAGGAGATTGCTATTTTTTGTTATCTTTCCTTTAAAATGTGGTTGCTATGGAATCAGACATCGTTATCCGTATTAGGAGACAATCACAATTAACATTCCATTATTTATCACACATTTATCTTCCATCTATGTTTGGATTTCATCAATGCCACATAGTTTTAAAAATTTATTAGAAAATAAAATATATAAATCAAATTTATTTCCGGGATTACATTTGATGATGTAGTTTTCCCAACGAGAGATGGGTCGGGCTGGTCCAAGCTTCCAATAGGTTTGTTGGCCCTGAAGTCTGTGGAATGTCCCTGCAAAAAGGTCCAATGGGGGCGGTAATCCCCCGGCAGACCCTCCGACAATCGAGTTATAATAGAAGAGATTGACTGTGTAGAGAGAGAGAGAGAGAGAGAGAGAGAGAAAAGGAGGAATGAAAAACTTAACCTTTGATGTGCCTCGGAAACTTCCTTATATCTTTTGCTCATCATTTCCTTGTCCATTCCAGTCTGTCATTGTAGACACCCCATTTTTGACCGACCTCGAGACTCAGACGTCACCGATTGAGCGCTTGGTGATGTTGCATAATGTGCTTGTTCAGAAGTTTCGGAGTTGCGGCCGTGAGCCCTACCTCCGGACTCCCGAACCCTTTTCTGTGCCTTGTCTCGGTTTGCGAACTTTGATGATGTAGTTTTCCCAACGAGAGATGGGTCGGGCTGGTCCAAGCTTCCAATAGGTTTGTTGGCCCTGAAGTCTATGGAATGTCCCTGCAAAAAGGTCCAATGGGGGCGGTAATCCCCCGGCAGACCCTCCGACAATCGAGTTATAATAGAAGAGATTGACTGTGTAGAGAGAGAGAGAGAGAGAGAGAGAGAGAGAGAGAGAGAGAGAAAATGAGGAATGAAAAACTTAACCTTTGTTGTGCCTCGGAAACTTCCTTATATCTTTTGCTCATCATTTCCTTGTCTATTCCAGTCTGTTATGTTGGCCAAAAGTCTATGTTCTAGCTTGCATTGTTCATGGTGAGTTTGTATATTCCGGCATGAGGGGGTTGTCGCATTTAATGCCGTGAAAGTCTCATTAATGGCTGATGTGTGATGCAATAACTTTGTAGGATCTTTGTCTGCTTATGTGTCTAGGCCCCTGTTTGGCAAGTATTTGAATGTTATTGGTCCTGGCCTAATATTGATTTTATTAGGCTTTGATAACTGGAATGTGGACTGGGCCTTGATCCATGGGTTGGGCCCTCCTAGGTACCGATCGGTATCAGTAATACCCCACTCCCGAGTGCAGCTTTAGTCCAACGAAGGAAATAAGAAAGGTGGAGGAAGTCTGTCAAGCTTGGGGGGTGGAGCGGGGTGGGTGAGTAGAGAGCAATCAAGCGGTGAGGTTGCCGACAGTAGGGAGGGCCGACCGCGAGGGTGGGTGAACGGGATGGCCGATTAGGAGGAAGGCTAACCGCGAATGTGGCCATCGGGATGGCCGAACGAGAGATGGGCTGACCGCGAAAGTGGCTGAGCGGGATGACTGATCGAAAGGAGGGCCGACCGTGAAAGTGGCCGAGCTGGATGGCCGATCGGGAAAAGGGCCAACCGCGAAGGTGGCCGAGCTGAATAGCCGATCGGGAGGCGGGGCGACCGCGAAGGTGGCCGAGTGAGATGGCCGATTGGGAGGAGGGCTGACCGCGAAGGTGACCGAGTGGGAGGAGGGCCGAGAAAAGAGTGACGGCGCGCGGGGCTCGAGGGTGTAAAAGTACGTACTGATGTGAAGTGAAATAGACGGGGAAGAGGAAAGAAAATTAGTGGGACGAGGAAAAGATCATGGCCGTATACGTAGTACAACAAGGATTGCTGATGAGGGAGACGAATAGTGTGTAAGAGGGGAAGGGTTCGGGAAAGTGGGTTGTTGAAAAGACGGGGGTTTAATTGTTGTGCGAAATTTCAAATTGGCGAATTTTAACCGCGATCCTTGGAGGATAGGTAAACCTTGGGCTTTTGGACTTGTGCGTTTTACTTACTTGCTTGCAAAAAACCAGCGCATTCCAGATTTAAGTGACTTCATCGCAAGAGATTCGCCTGTCTGGTATATTATAAATTTTCTGGCTCCCGCAACCGAAGCAATAGTGAGAAACGTGAAGGAGATGGCAGAACACAAACCGCCAGCCATGGGAGTGGATGCACTGGAAGAGGATGATGGAGTGGAGTTGGCAGAGCAGTATAAGGCCGAAAGGCAGGTAGAGAGGGAGGCGGAATGGGGTATGATTTGTGGATTCCAAGATAAAGTCAGCGACAACCTGGCCTTTGATAGCTGTTCGTGGTCGGTAAGAGATGTTATTGGCACTTTTGAGATCTTTGAGCGGATTGGGAGGTTGCCTACTGTTTGGTGTTGCTGCCCACTACAACAAAAAGCACATTTGGCGACCAAACAATTAGTTGCCAAAAGTACAAATTTTGCCGCCAAAAGAATCGGCGACAAGTACACAATTGGTCACCAAAAACCTGTCACTAAAAGTATTGGCGACCAAATCAGAAATTGTCACCGTATGTAGACATTTAGCGACAAACAAAATTGGTCGCCAAAAATCATATATTTTGTCACTATAAAATTCTAATTTGTCGCTAAAAGGTTAAAATTTGGATAGGCTATGTAGTTTTAGTGACAAATAAATGTGTCGCCAAAAGTACTATCTAACGATAAAATTAGTTTGGTCGCTAAAAATCAAGTTTTAGCGACGAATATGTTTTGGTTGCTAAAAGTTCTTGGAATAACCACTAACTTTTAGCGACAAAAATAATATGTTGTCGCCAAATATATTAACAGCGACCAAAATACCACCTATCACTAAAAATTCACTACACAAATTTTGATTTTAATAATTTTCCTGTTCAAAATAATCCAAAACACCAGTTTTTCTGTGCACAATATATACACAAATGTAATGTAAATAATAATACACATGTTCAAAACATTCATAATAATTCAAAATTAATAACTACTAAACATTCCAATAAACATAATTACAATTCTCTGACAATCTAAAACATTCATACCAAAGTACTTACAAACTATTAACATCAAACCCATAAATACATTACCAAATCCTACGTCAAAATATTTTTAAAAACACAAAACCAAATATTTTGATGCTAAACAACTAACCAACAAGTCATTTACCAAAATCCTAAGTCAAAATATTTGCAAAAACACAACACCAAATATTTTGATGCTAAACATTTAATCCATAAATCATTTACCAAAATCCTATGTCAAAATATTTCTAAAAACACAAAATCAAATCTTCTGATGCAGCCCGAACTATTTTTCACCATTGCCAATCTGTCACATGAAAAAAGAAAAAACAATATTAGATTGAAAAAAAAAAAAAAAAAAAACCTCGATATGAATTTCACAATTTTGATTTTAATTTTATAACGGGAAGTTCAATCGGGTGCTGTTTGCTCATACAAGTCTATTTAGGCTTGAACAAGCTGTCTGTGCTAAGTTTCAATGGTTTCAGTGGTTATTTTGCAATTTCAGCCCCTCGAACGGACATTTTAAGTCTTTTGTTTTACATTTTTACTTGTAATTTTCTAACCGGAAATCCAATTGAGATATCGTTTGTTCCTACAAGTCTATTTAGGTTTGAACAAGCTGTCTGTGCCAAGTTTCGGTGGTCATTTCGCAATTTCGGCCCCTGAACGGGCCTTTTAAGTCTTGTGTTTTATAATTTTTCTTCTAATTTTCTAACCGGAAATCCAATCGATGTCTCGCTTGTTCCTACAAGTCTATTTAGGATTGAACAAGTTGTTCGTGCCATGTTTCGGTGGTTTCGGTGGTCATTTCACAATTTCGGCCCCTGAACAGGCCTTTTAAATCTT